CAGGTCAATAAAACTGTGGGATTTGTGAGGTTAGTCATTTCTTATGCACTCTACAATGTATTTTAGTTAATAAACTAAGAAAATATATATTAACAAAGCTTAACAATAAGATGTCCATTCTTCATATTCTAGAGCTCTAAGATAAACAAAACACAATTAGCCTCACTCATATATAGTGGAGTTTAGCAGGAAAGGAAATTCTTTCTGAATCGCATCTTAAGGCATACCAATTTAACAACACCAAAAAAGTCAGCAATTAATTTTATATTGCATTTTCCATTTTGTAAGCCTCTTTTTGAAAACAGGGAAGTTATTTCTCAGTATTTAACAACTAGAGGTGTTTGAAGTACTACATAGTATCATCAGATGAATAAAAGTAGAAAATAGCTCCAGAGAACACATCTTCTCTTTCAGAAGGATACTTCTTCTGTAAGTCTCTAAGGATAAGCTTCTACAATGTGTGACAGATAAGTCAATGGTTGAAACAGCCATCAGTTCAAACAACTATCAGAAACAGCCTTCCTAAATCTCCCTTACAGCAAGCAGTATAAGCTCTTTTCTAGTCCTTGATTCAAGGACACATGAGGAAGACACAAGTACCCACCTTTGTATCATCCTCTTTTAGGTTTTTTATTGGACATCACACTACTCAGCTTTCTTGTACTTATTTTACCTCTTGATTTGCTGACATTACAAAATAACATTTTTAAAGAAAATGCAGATAGGTAGCTGTTCTCTTCATGGGAAGGACTTTCTAAGAATAAAAGCAATGGATCATAAAGGAAAAGATTAACAGGCAGACAACGTAAAATTGTTTTAATTTCTATAAATCATAAGCCATCATAAATGAAAAGGCAATTGTGGGGAAAATGCCCCACATCGAAGGGTTAATATCCTCATTGTATCAAGAGTTCATATGGTTCAGTGCGTGGCCAAGACAGTGCCCCCAGCATTCCCTCGTCCTCCATACAGGAAACTGCAATGTCTCCGCAAAAAAAGAGATTGCAGCTTCTCTCCTCCAGCTTTGAAAACTACTCTGCCTTTCCTTATCTGTCTCGGTTTTTGCCTCCTACCTGGATGCTCTCTTTCTTCCAAGCCCTGTTTGACTCAAAGTTCAGATAAACAAGCAATCAGCCCGGTCTTGATTCCAGATTTTTCCCCCAAGAAACAGCCTCTGAAACAGTTTTCTACCTTGCCATGTAGCCTACAGGCAAGTAACAACTCGCCCCATGCTCCAGGGATAATTTATCCAACTAATTCCAGCCAAAGCCCAGAATAGTGGCTCCTGCCTGGGCTGGGGAAGATAAAAATCAAACAAACAATTGATAAGAAAAAACTAAGACTCTAACACAAAAACCATCAAAAAGCTTTTGTAGGCAATTCACAAAAAAGAAATAGCCAATAGCTAACAATAAATTTCTTAACACTTAAAACATATTAATAATGACAGATGTGAGTTAAAATAAGGAGGTGCCATTTTATTTTATTTTTATTTATTTACTTAATTTTTTTTTTTTTTTTTTTTTTTGAGATGGAGTCTCACTCTGTCACCCAGGCTGGAGTGCAGCAGTGCGATCTCGGCTCACTACAAGCTCCACCTCCCGGGTTCACGCCATTCTCCTGCCTCAGCCTCCCAAGCAGCTGGCACTACAGGTACCCACAACACGCCCGGCTAATTTTTTGTATTTTTAGTAGAGACGGGGTTTCACCGTGTTAGCCAGGATGGTCTTGATCTCCTGACCTCGTGATCTGCCCACCTCGGCCTCCCAGAGTGTTGGGATTACAGGTGTGAGTTACCACGCCTGGCCAGGAGGTGCCATTTTTATCTGTGAAATTAGCAAAGTTTTTAAAATAATAATGCTAATATGGGTGTCATAAAACTGACGGTGGCAATGTAAATTGGCATAATCTTTCTGAAAAACAGTACGGCAATGTTTCGAGGTTTTGAGAGCATTCACAATGTCCCTGCCCTTTGACCTCCCTATAATTTCATTTTTGGGAACTGATTTTTTTTTTTTTTTTTGAGACAGGGTCTCACTCCATTGCCCAGGCTGGAATGCAGTGGCAAGTTCACTGCAGCCTCGAATTCCTGGGTCAAAGAGATCTTCCCACTTCAGCCTCCTCAGCATTAGGGGCTGGCTACAGGTGCATGCCACCACACCTGGCTAATTTTTTTATTTTTTTAGAGATAGGGTCTTGCTATGTTGCCCAGACTGGTCTCAAACTCCTGGCCTCAGTGATCCTCCCACCTCAGCCTCCAAAAGTGCTGGTTTTACATGCATGCATCCCCATGCCCAGCCTAGGAACTGACCTGAAGTAATCAAAAATGTAGCAAAAAGATTTAAGTGTAAAGACATCCATTATTACATTTTGTACCTGAAGTCTAAATATTCAACAATAAGTAAATTGCAAATAAATTATGTTTCATCCATAGTGTGGGTTATTACTGAGCTAATAAAAATGATATGAGAACTGACCTTTTTATAGTACTGATGAAGGACCATTCCCTGTTCTACACAGTTAACATGTACTAACTCATTTACTTCTCAAAACAGCATGACATGGAGCCTGTGACATAGGCAGGTGCTAGTATCATCTCCATTTTACAGTTGAGGAATCTGAGGCCAGAGGAGTTAAATGATGGGCTCAAGGTTACACTAAAGCAAAATCACATCTGAAATTCTCATCCTCATCTGAAATTCTAAAACCCAAAAATCTCAGAAAATCAAGTGTTTTCTTTTTTTTTTTTTTTTTTCTTTTTTTCAGAGACAGGGTCTCACTCTGTCACCCAGACTGGACTGCAGTGGTGCAATCATAGCTCACTGCAGCCTGGGGTTTGCTCTGGGGCTCAAGAGATCCTCCCACCTCAGCCTTCGGAGTAGCTGGGACCATAGATGCACACCACCACGCCCGGCTAATTTTTTAAAAATTTTGTAGAGATGGGTCTTATTATGCTACCCAAGCTGGTATCAAACTCTTAGCCTCAAGCGATCCTCCCACCTAGGCCTCCAACAAGAGTCAAGTGTTTTCATAAACCTGTGGCAAACTCATTTGCAAAACGAGATCTAAACTGACAATGAAACAATGTATTATCTCTGTCCCACTTAGAGCGAATTCATTTTACTAAAGAGAAGTTAATGTGTTTGATTACAAGGTGCTGCCCCAGATCCCACTAGACATGATACAGGGTCTATACCATGTCATCTTCCGATAAAGTGAAAATTCTGAATTTTAAAACACAACTAGCATCATAAGTTTTCAGATAAGGAATTGTGACAGAGCTGGGATTCAGATCTAAGCTGTCCGCCTGTGCTCCTAACCACTATGTGATATTTTCAGAGACTGTTTAATGACATAGGAAAATGCTTATCATTCAAGTATTTACACAGACAAATTTTAAATTGCGATTGTGATTAAGTGCTACTAAGGAGAAATCACTGGTGTCAGAAGAACCTATGTTAAGCAGGTTTGTCCTAGACAGTCAGAAGCAGTTTTCCTGAGGAAATATTTGATCTGAGATGTGAATAAGAGTTAGAAGAGAAGAAGGAAGAGCACATCTGGCAGGGAGACTATCATATGCAACAGCTCTGTGTAGGAGGGAAAATGGCACAAAAGTCTGAAAAGAAGCCAATGTAGAATAACCATTTGCCTCAGTTTGCCTGACAGAGACCCAGGTTAGACCTTTTGTCCTAGTATAAATAATAACTTTTTTTTTTTTTTTTTGAGACAAAGTCTCACTCTGTTGCCCAGGCTGGAGTGCAGTGGCATGATCTCGGCTCACTGCAACCTCTGCCTCCTGGGTTCAAGCGATTCTCAGACCTGCCTCAGCCTCCCGGGAAGCTGGGATTACAGGCATGCACCACCATACCCAGCTAATTTTTGTATTTTTTAGTACAGACAGGGTTTCACCATGTTGGTCAGGCTGGTACTTTCTATTTCTCTCAAAAATATCTTGGTCTGGATGGTCATGTACACGGTCACCCAACTTCTAGGCCACATTAAGAGTTCTGTCTTCATCCTAAGAATAACCAGAAGCCATGATGGATTTTGAGCTAGAGGAGGGGGGGAGGTAGCATAATCAAACTTTAGTTGTTAAAACACTACTGCTGCTGCAGGGCAAAGAATGGATGGGAATATTGAAAGGAAAGGGTAAATACCTTTAGATTAGTTAAGAGGCTACTACTGGACAACAGATAATGGTAGACTGGTCTAGGGTGATAGTAGCAGAGACACAGATACTCAGATAGATTTGAGATTTGGTTTGAAGATAGATAAAATGAATAGAACTTGACGATTGTTTAGATATGGAAAGGAAGAAAGTACGAGGTATCAAGGATGAGGCCAAGATTTCTGATTTGCAAACTAGATAGAGGTTGGTATGACTCATTGAGAGTGCAACTGAGATTTACACGAGCTAAAAATTTAAATGTGCGATATATCTGCATATTCATCATAGTCTAAAGGCATGGGCCTGGAGAACAAGGAAACAGTTTAGGTTCAAAACTTGCTGATGTTCCTTTCCATTCACAGAGCCCTCTTCCAAGGCAGGACCATCCTATTTTCTGGTTGGATATTGGAGTCATTTGGTGGTCAAAAAAGAAGGTCCTCCTTAGCTGGTGATATGGGACGGGGAGCACCAGACCACTTTTAGCATGCAAATATCCCTTACAACTAATGCTCAAGTGCTTTTTACATGTACGGTTCACAAAAGAGCTTCACATATAGGTTCACTGAAACCCACGACCTTATGAGAAATTAATAGTCTACATTTAGGAAGCTGAGGGAGAGTGCTTAAATTACCTGTCCACACAGCCAGTACGGGGCTGCTTTATGTCATCCTATCACCTCCTATGTGCATCCTCTAGGTGTAAGAGACTATCTTAAGGGCAACAAGAAACCTACCATATAATGAGGTCCTACTAGGTACCAGGCTCTAGGAGATTTAAAAAAAGAAAGAAACACACCTTCAGAAGTTCTAAGGATGTTTCGCACACACTTACCCTACAGTAAGTTCGCTTTATACTTTCAAAAAGTTTCACGTCCCAAGATGGGGTGGAGGTGAGACGGTGGAGATGAACCGGGGCAGACAGAGACCACCCCAAATACAGGACCGGGGGAAATGGGGTCCCAACGGCTGGGTCCCGGGAGACACTCGGAGGGGTCCGCGGGTTCAGCCCGGTCCCGCCGCTGGGGGGTCGCCAGCCGACCGGCAGCGAGAGACCCAGAGGCCCGTTTGCCCACTACGTTGCCATAGCAACGGCCTGGGCCGGCTGCGCCCCGGGCCACCCGCCCCATCCCGCGGGCCCGCCCTGAGCTGTGACTCCAGGGACCACTCACCGCGGCCGGCGGACGGGCGGGTCTCCTACAGGTGCGCACACTTGGCGCAGGCTGTCGCTGAGCCCAGAATTCTGCACCGGGAGAAACTTTTCGGCCCGCAGAACAGCCGCAGGCCGGTGGACGGGGGCCGCGCGGGGACAAAGAGCGGCGGCGGGTGCAAAGCCCCTTCTCCAAGCCGCGGGGCTGGCCCAGAGGTGCCGGCTGCACAACGGCGCCCACGTGCCCCGAGTGCAGCCCCAGGCGCGCCCAAGGGCAGCTCCCCTTAGAAACGGACCTAATATCCCGTCTGGGGCACAGAGGAGCAGCCGTATGTTACGTAAAATAAAGCTTTGTAGTAGGGATATCACAGTACTGAGGTGATTAATGCTCAGGCCACTCTTCTCGCTCGGGGTCAAGCCCTCAACCCCCAGCCCGTTGGAGCTAGGGCTGCAAGCCTTGAACTGCAGTGGGTGGGGAGCTGGCCTAAAAAGACGGGAAAATGCTGGGGGGAGGGTGTTTGTCCCCAGGCAGGGGCTGAGAAGACTGACAGATCAAATGACAATTCTCAGGGATATGTTTTAGCTACAAACCTATAAGAACCATCTGAATGCCCCATGCAACAGAGGGTCCAGCTGTATGCTAATGCATTTATTGGCCTGAACTAGGAATGGCTTCTGTGGTCCTGGGTCCTACTCTTTAGCAGCTGTGGGAAAGAAATTCAACTCTCCTAATACTAGCCTAGTTATTTGAGGCAGATGTTTTCTAATATTAGACTGATTGGTAGCAAGTAACTTGATACCACGGCAGGTGGATTCATTGTATTGCTTGCGGAGAGGGTACATTTGGCAACTAGTTCATCCAGTCCTTTTCATCAAAAAACTCAAAATGGTCATAATGGGTGACTGGTAACTTCAAACTTCAAACTTCAAACCACCGGACTAGGCCGGGCACAGTGGATCACACCGATAATCTCAGTACTTTGGGAGGCCAAGGCAGGAGGATTGCTAGAACCCAGAACTTCAAGACCAGCCTGGGTAACACTGGGAGACCTCCGTCTCTACAAAATTCAGAACTACCTGGCCACCAAAGGGCTGCAAGAAACCTACCATATAATGACGTACTACTAGGTACTAGCCTCTAGGAGATTAAAAAAGATCTCCTAGGATAGCCTCCCCCATCTTAAGGGCATTAATCACATCTGTAAAGTGCCCTTTGTATATAAGGTAACATATTGACAGGTTCCAGCCTGGGTGATAGCCAGCCCTGACTCGAAAAGCAAAAACAACCACTGGACTATGTTTTGCCCTGGATTAAACCAGACCATCAAAAAACTGTATGTTTGTACCACTTCGTCTTCACCATTGCAACATTGCCTGCACCAAGTCATGTTTAGCACTATGCCATTTGCTTATATTAAGAGACGCTGTTTAAAAAATATTCATGATACCTCTACATTTACTAGAGGGATTACTTGAAGAATGTTGTTTATTACATCTCTATAGCAGAATCCTACCAGCTTGTCTAGTCCAGAGCTTTTCAAACTTTTTTGAGCACAATCCATCAAAATAAATATGTTTTACATTATCACTCAATACACATGTATTCATATATTTAATAACTGAAACAAGTTTTATAAAACATTACCTGCATCACATGCTATGCACCCTGATACTTTTAATCTCTTTTGAAGACTAGTGTCTACCCACTGATGGTTTCTTGACCTTCAATGCAAGTTGCATTTTAAAAACAGCAGTATAACCAGATGTCTTTTTCTGGAAACTAGCCCTGGATCCTCAGACAAGGTAACCAGGCCACCTGGCTACAGTTGATTGCTCCAATAGTAGGGACCTGACTCAAGATAAGGCAATCATATCCCTCTCTCCCAGGAATTTGGAATTAGGATGGAGAGATTTCAGTCTTTCTCTAGGAAGCTAATGTGGAAACATAGAAACATCTTTAAAATAGAAAATCAGAGGCTGTCAACAGACATACTTTTCCGCCATGTGGCCAAAAGAAATGCAGAAAACTAGGCTGCGGGGAAAATGAGAAACGAACAGGAAGGTTGAAAAAGATATACAGAGAGAAGAGACCAAAAGAGTTCTGACAGCTTTCTATTCCTAGTCATGGTATTTTCTGAAATGAATTGTATTCCTGCCTTTGAATTCCACATAGTATTTCCAAGTCTTTGGAGTTGGGAGGAGGGGCCTACCACACTAATGTAATCACCTATATGCCCTGTTTAAGAGGGTCAATGCAAGAAATATATTTCAATCCTGAGGGCCAGAAAACAATACTTTCCCTAGAGACACTGACATGACTTTTCTTTATAAAGAAAGCAGACCATGAGATTGATCACATTTCCCTTTCACCTTGACTTCTAGGAAGACAGCACCCAAATTTGCAACTCAATTTTAATAACTTTGTCAAACTACAGTTTGCATATCTGCATCACAACTTTCTCCTGTTCTCTTTCATTTCCCCTCATTCCTACTTTCATCTTTTTGTATGTTTTTGTTGTATTGACTATTATTTTAAACTGCTTCAAATATTTGTACTAGCTGTTTCCTGTTTCTGTAAGGCTCTGCCTCTGTAGCTCCTCAAGCCTGGTTCCTTATCATTCAGATCTCAGCTCACTTGCCACCTCCTGAGAAGCCTTCCTTGATCTTCCTACCTAAAATAGCCCCACACCACAGTCTATCACATCACCCTGCTTTGTTGTCTTAGACCACTTAACACCATCTAAAACAAGCTGCTTATTTTCTTTGTTTCCTCACCAGAAGCTAAGTTCTAAGACAGCATGGACCTGGCCTCTTTATTTATTGCTTGTTCCTAGTGCCTGGGAACAGTGCCTGGAACTTAGTAGCTAGTTAGTAAACATTATGGAATTAATAAATAAAAGATTTAATAGAAGAAAGAAAGGGAGGGAAGAAGGAAGAAGGAAGGGAAGGAAGGAGGGAGGGGGAGGGGAGAGGAGAGAAAGGGAGGGGAGGGTTGAAGGAAAGAGACTTCGTTGAACATGGTAAGACATAGATGGATAGGTAAATAGGTGGATAGATAGACTGACAAATAGACAAATATTCATTTCCAGTGTGCAAATGTCACTATTATTTATAGAGAGGAACCAGAGGAACTATACAAGAAAGTAAAATGTACTTGATTCCCTAAAATATATACACGAAGATCCTCAGTTTCCTTGGATAACTCTTGACATAATGCCTTAGACCATTTTTTTAAGCATTCAAGTCGCTCAAGGCAGCTGCATTAAATATTAGGGCTAGTAACCATAGCTGAAGTCATCAATTCTCAGTGAGATAATGGATTGCAACACCTTGACCACTAACATGACAAATTCTTAACACTGCCAAGGAACTTAGTCTATTCTAGGGGTCATTACTACACAACAGTCTGCTCTCATTCTATTCCTGTAATTATTAATGTCACCACTAGCAACAAGTGTTATTTACATGTTATTTACTTAAACACTCTATGGTAACGTTATTGTTACAATGCAATATCAAACTGCTTGACATTTAAGGAAGAGAAGCCAGAATTGAAGTTTGTCAATAAAACAAAACACAGAAGCAATTAGCACAGTTTGTCCCTGGGTTTGCTGACCCTGTTGTAAAAATACCAGAATTTGTGGGGTGAGTGGAGGATTTCAGTTTTCTTAAGTCAAGAAGCAGTGGATTTATACATGTAATAAGGTTATCTCTGCTATTCAAAAAATTTTAAGAGACTCTATATAAGAAAAAAAACCCTATAATTTTTTCGTTCCATAAAACAAATTAAGAGATGCTTAGATTATTACGTGTTATATTAAGATTTCTCCCTTCCTTCCCTCTCTCCCTCCCTCTCTCTCTCTCTCTCTCTCTCTTTCTTTCTTTCTCTTTCTCTTTCTTTTCTTTGAGACAGGGTCTCACTCTGTCACCCAGGCTAGAGTGCAGTGGCACGATCTCAGCTCACTACGGCCTCAACCTCCTGGGCTCAAGCAATCCTCCCACCTCAGTCTCCCAAGTAGCTGGGACCACAGTCATGCACCACCACGATTGGCTAATGTTTGTATTTTCTATAGAGACAGGGTTTCTTCTTGTTGCCCAGGCTGGTCTTGAATGCCTGAACTCATGCAATCCACCCACCTCTGCCTCCCAAAGTGCTGGGATTACAGGTGTGAGCCACCGTTCCTGGCAAGATTTCTTAAATGGGAACATATCTTTGAGAAGGATATAATACAAAGTGTAACTTTTTCCTATTGAGATCTTTCTCTGATTACTGATAGGCTCTACGAATTTATATGTCTTTCCATTTGTTCTCTTCCCCTACTTTGACAAAATAAAACTATACCTTATCCATATAGCTCAAAAATGAAATAAACATTTGGCAATTAACTCAGTGTGTCTCATCATTTTGGATATCTAAACTAGCTTTTTTTGTTAGATAATAATTAGAGTTCAAGTTGGTGCACGCCAAATGTTCATGGATTGGAAGACTTATATTGTTAAGACAGCAGTGCTCCCCAAACTGATCCACAAGTTCCTTACAATCCTTATCAAATTTTCAGTGGTCTTTTTTGCAGAAATTAACAATCTGATCTTAAAATGTATATAGAAATGAAAGGGACCCAGAACAGGCAAAACAATCTTAAAAATAGAAGCAAAGTTGGAAGAGTCACACTTCCTGATTTCAAAACTTACTACAAAGCTACAGTCATCCAGACTAGATCATTCAGCACTGTAAGACAGGGCAAGAAAAAAAAAAAAGGCTGGGTCATACCGGTATAAGAATAGACATAAAGATCAATGAAGTAGAATTGAGATTCCAGAAATAAACCCACTTACCTATGGTCAATTGGCAAAGATGCCAAGGCAATTCAATGAGGGAAAGAGTAGTCTTTTCAACAAATAGTGCTGGGAAAACTGAATATCCACATGCAAAGAAGTAAATTTAGACTATACCTCACATCAAATATAGAAGTTAACTCAAAGTGAGTCAAAGATCTAAATATAAGAGCTAAAACTGTAAAACTGTTAGAAGAAACATAAGTATAAATTTTCGTGACCTTGGATTAGGCAACGGTTTCTTAGATACAGAACCTAAAGCAA